CAACAATGCTGTGGGAAACAATGGCTGGATCTCAGTAGAGATACAAAAATGATAAGCAACAGCTAAAAAGTAAACGTAAGTAAACAGCCAGAAATAGAACCAGAGCTTTCGGACAACACTAGTCCTTCCTCAGTGGCGAGTGAGGAAGGACTCTGGTAGTCTATTCTATGAAATTACTTTCTACGGCGTCCACCCCTCCCAAAACAATGGAGGAGCCCAATTTCTGGGTCAACCAATAATAAACAAGAGGGTTTTGTGTGATTTAGTGGCGTTACGACAGAAAAAAAATATCAGTAGGGTTATCAGAAAAGAAAGGGTCTTTTGGTATTCTGAAGTGATCAGGTGAGTAGGCCAACGATATGTATGTTTGCAAGACTTCAACACATGGAGGCAGATTGTATAGGTGTAGCGCTATAAAACTTAAAACTTTTAACCTATTATTGCCAATGTGTGGTCCTCCACCTCCTTGGGTCCTCACATGGAGGTGGTCCTCCCTATTAATATTATTAAAGACACCGTCATCCGGAAGGTGATGTTTTTCAACCGGAAGTAACAGTAGCCAGACTTAGGCTAGCCTGCATGATGTCTCATAATCTGACCTTAGACACCAAGTTTCGCAGTGATGGCGCCAGCAGTGGTGGCGCCAAGACCTGCCCGACGGAGGGGCTAAAAGCCCCGACGGGGGGGGGGCTAGTGGAGCGAATCGAGTCTCACTTTGCTGGGGGCCAGGGGCCGCCTAAGGCCCCCCGGTGGGGGTCCAGGGGATCGGAATATAGGATGAATTATGGCGAATTTTTATTACTTATTTGATAGGCATCGAGTTACTATAATATGACTTCATGTAGGCTATGCTTTCTAATATTGAAATCAGCTTCCTAAACCAAAACATTTTGAATAAAGCAAGAAACAAAGGGTATGCGATGTAACCATGGAGTTATAAAATTAAAAAATAATTATAACTCCATGATGTAACCATCTAATTTATTTTCAAATCCTCATTCTTGAAAGTGAAATTCTATATTTTGGAAATTTTGCATGAAACCTGTCAACCACGCTGTCATGGTCGAGGTTGCTTCACCTATGACGATGTATTCCAACCATCATGAGGCTATCTAAATGAGCATTTGTCATAACAGAACGGAAATTATTTTTAATTAGTCTCATTTAATTATTATTATTATTATTATTATTATTATTATTATTGTTATTATTATTATTGTTGTTGTTGTGATGAAAAATTAACAGTATGGTGGCTAAACGAATATTTTTTTTATTTGTTTGTTCCCCGACAAAATTCATCGTCTTCCCCGACGGGTGGGGGGGGGGCTATGCTTCCCCGACGGGGGGCTATAGGGCCCCCAGCCCCTCTGGCGCCACCACTGGGCGCCAGGTGGGGGTTTTCCCGTTCCTCTCATTTCGTCGCTCACATCACGGACTAACACAATCAAAGTAGATTGTGTTAGTTCGTGAAATCACAGTAGCGCGTCAAAACGAGTGCGTATTGGTTGTCAAGCAATTTTGTATTCTTTACCACACAAAAAGTCCTTAACGACAACAGCGCGTATTTTGACGCTTTTTTGATTTCACGAACTAACACAATTGAATTTAATTGTGTTAGTTCGTGATGTGAGCGACGATTTGTAGTAAGCCTATACATTAGTATACCCTAAAATAGATTGAATTAAGCCTTTGCAGCCGTTAAATTTTCCCCGAACCACTTTCTAAAGATTTTAAGCGACCCCCCCCCCCGACCACGCCCCTTTCTCTCGTTGGGAACTTTGCCAGAAGAAGGAGGAGAAAGCTTATGCATAGTTAGTTGGATCATGTTGGATGGATTTGATTCCAGCATGCAACGGTCATTGGCTATAGCTGTCTGTCTTTCTTTCTGCCTGTATGTGTCTGTTAGCAAGCTATACGCAAAAACTAGGAATGGATCATAACATTTTGTGAAAGGGTACATAATAATCTAAGAATGTTCTGATGGCGTTTGGGGAAAAAAGTTCAAAGGACACTGTCAAGGTAACGGAAATTCAATTTTCCCCTTAAACTTAACCTCGAGCATAAAAGAAGATAATGTGGCTGTATGTTTTAACTGCAGGCTCAACAATGGCAACTTCTTCGAAGATCGCAACTTTGATGAGCGACCACGAGAGATATGTGACCACGTTCGCCGAATACTCGAAACGGTGTAGAAAATATGAGGTCTTGGACAAATGGATCAGCTTGTCTTTTCCTGAGAAAATTGTCAACGCAATTGATGTTAAGGAGGCGGAAGAGTTTAAAATGCTGGGAGTCGGGAGCGGAACAGGTATGAACAAACAAGAAAAAGATATTTCCTTTCCGGGGAGACAATTGGAACGTGGTGGCTGGTGTCGGCCACCAGGAAAGGAACACAAGCATTAAATGGCATAAAATGACCATAACTACGACGAGGAAGATGATAATGATTATGAATGTATATACAGGCATATGATAATAATAACAATATTAATTTATGATAATTTCAGATGATTATGATGATGATCATCATAAAGAGAGGGTGATAATGGTTAGGCCTATTGTGAGTCAATATGATGATGATAATTTAATTAATAATCATCAGAAGGTCCGGGTCTTTTGGATTTTTCAAATCACATTTGAAAACATACTTACCCGCATCTTATTAGGTCTACTGACAAGTAGGGCCTACTCTCCTCATTTTTTTGTAGGCAAATCCTTATATTTTGTTTTGCTGTTCTTTATCGCAATTGCGGATCATGTGCCATATTTATGGATGCCGGCGTTCTACTCGGGCGCACACATATCGCCATTATGATGTACGGAAGCTTATAGTGACCTTCCGTTCAGATGACGAGATCCAGGATCTTGTCATCTTATCATTTTTTTCTAAATGATGTACACATAACGAAAACCAGGATCTCGTCATCTAATCATCTCTTCTAAAGGATGTACACATAACGAGATCCAGGATCTCCCGTAATGATGAAATGACAGTGACGATATTAACATAACACTTATATGTCAAAGATACTAGAAACACAAGATCGAGTTCTCCACAGTCATAAAGTGTTCCACCGATATGCATGGTGGGAATACAAACAATGGGGTGCCGCGTACGGCTGGATCTAAACAACTTCTGCTAAATTAACGGATATAGTGAAATAATATTAGTGGAAAGAGAAGGGCGCCGCGTACGTCTGGATTTAATTAGCAACGGAAGGGCGCCCTGTACGTCAGGATATGAACTGGATAAACGTGTGTAAATTGCTATATTGAAAACTGAAGGGCGCCGCTTACGACTGGATTTGAGTAAAAGATGTGACGTATATCCGCCTCACTTTTGCTATGCGAGTGCCTATCTTGTATTTCTAGTATCTTTGCTTATGTTGATAATGATATATAATAAGATCATGGTGATAAAGTTTAGGATGAAGTAAAAATTATTATAATAATGATGAAGATGATGACGACGATGGTGATTGAAGATTTATGGTGATAATGATTGTGATGAAGATTGAAGATCAATGACGACAATAATAATGATGATTTAAGGTCAATAAGATGAGGATGATAATGATGAAGATGATGATTCGAAGATCAACAATAACGATAATGAGGATGATGATGAAGATGATAATGCTTCAGGATCAATGATGATAATGATGATGTTGAAGATGATGATGATGATGATGATGATGATGATGATGTTGAAGATGATGATGGTGGCAGTGGTTAGTGGTTGAGTAAATTGAAGATTGGTGACGATTGATGATGATGCATTGTTAATAACCGTTATACTGTGAATTTTGCTATTCTGCTAAGATCCCTGCATGTTCTTGTTGTTTTTTCATTCAAGACGTGTCCTGGGTTGAATGTTTACATTTTATCTTTCCAATTTTGTGAATAAATAATGAAAGAAGAAGATGATCAGCAGTGTTGACAAAATAATTACATTAATGTTCTTCAGGTCAAGTTGAGACAAGCGCATTGAAACAGCTGTTAACTAAGTGGCCTATGATAAATCACACTGTCGTCGAGCCCAACTCAGAACTCATTGCTCAATTTAAAGACTTAGCTACGAGGGAAGGCAACGGTCTTCATGGCGTGTCGTTCAATTGGCATAATCTGACGGTGGAGCAGTTCCGTCATGAAACTTCTGACCAATCAAAGAAGTACAATTTAATCATGGCTGTCCAGATACTCTACTATGTAGATAATGTCGAAGAGGTTCTAAAATACTTGACAAGTCTTTTGGAAGATGGCGGTATACTCTTTGTGATAATGGTTGCCGGTATGTTCCATATTCATAATTAGTTCGATCAATCAATCAATCAATTACACGATCAATTTACCCACCCACATACTCTCTGGATCCTAAGGTACAAATGGATGGTAAAATGAATGTTCTATATTTTTCTCGATACTCGGCGCAATGAATCAGTTGGAAATAGCGTAGCATACATAAATGATTATAGATATATATAGATAGATTTTATCCTTTGAGTTGTTTCAATAAACCGTGATCAACCCATTCATCTGACCAATCAGACCAGGGTTATGGTAGAAGCGTCCTTGTCGCTGTCCTGGTTAACACCACTGCGCAACAGATCGTTTCTAATTACAATCGACTTTGACTGCCACGGACAATAAAGCACCAAATGGCATCGCGTCGTAAAGTCCTCATAGAAATTAGAGAATCATTTGTCAACCGACGGTGGTACGACCGTCGGCCGACGCGATATGACCGTTTTTTAGTTTATTAGTGTACTTTAGCCTGGGGTCATGGTAGAAGCGTCCTTGTCGCGGCCGTAGGTAACGCCAATTCTACCATCACCAGAGTGGACACGATAAGAAGAATCAGGGGTCGCGCCAGTGGCCGGGGGCGGAAGAGCCAGGTACCCTCGTCGGGGGAGCTGCCCCCCCCCCTGCCTCACTGTCGGAGAGAAAAGCCAAAATTCGTAGTGGAGAAAACAAAATGTATATGTATTTTCTACATTTATTAGACTCTAAAATCGATTAAATAAGCCTTTGAAATCCCTAAATTGTCATTGTTGTTCGGGGCCTCGCCCCTGGGATACTTTTGAGCGACGCCCAACCAGACCCAATTTTCACTCGTTGGGGACATCGCAAATCCTGTGACCACCCCTGAGAAGAAGTCAGAAGTATCAGAATCTTTATTTTCCACCACATACAAAAACACAATTACAATGGCATATGTAGGAAACAGCATCAGCGATATATGAGTGGGGAGGCTAAATAAGTTAGCAGTGCAATGCACAACTACCTTTAAGATAGTCTAGTACTTCAGATTATCAGTTTTTGTCTCATTGGTCAGACCTACTGTATATTTGATATCTGCTAAAGTTTCAAATACAAAAAAAGTCAAAAGATCATGTTATATCTCGCGACATCGCATATCCTGAACGTATCCTGTGTCTTGACATTGCGCCCTTTAAGCAACGTATCGTATCCAGCATTAATCTATTATACTAAAATGTTTAAAAAGTACCATGTTTTTTCTGATATTTTATTAAATTGTCATCTGATCACATTGCGCCCAATAAGTACAGTGCAGTATCCTTCATTATAGTTATTCTTATGATACTAAAATGTTCATGCTAAATGCTTTTAATAGAAGTAACCATAAGTTTTTTCAGATATTTTATTAAATTATTGTCATTTTGATCATGTAGGCTTTCTTCATCAATATTGTCGCGGGTATGCTTACAACCTTCACATTATTTGACAAATTATCAATTAGTTGCTTCTACTCCTAGACAATGGCTGCAATGATTTGCCTGACCATGTGGGAAAAAACTTCCAAACGAGACTCGAATGTAAGTGGGCGTAGTCGGGTGTCGCTCATCTTACTCCCTCACCCCGGAAACTATGACAATTTAGGGATTTCAAAGACTACATTAATCGATTTTAGAGTCTATATATAAAAAATAGGTGACATTTTTTTTTCTTCTCCCTCCTACGAATTGAGTTTTTCTCTCCAATGAGGGGGAGGGTGCTAACAATTTTATTTTGAACCCTTAATGTTTATGTTGTCGCCGCTGCAGGGTTTGCAGTCGCACAGCTCTCCACTACCGCCGCCGCCCCGTAAGCTTCCACCGTCATTCGTCTCAATTTAAATGTTGTCGAAGCGTCATATTTTAAGTACACTGCATATACATAGGCCTAGTTATTGGAAAAAATTAGAACTTCTTTCTGATTTGTGGCATTTATTCATTCATCCTGTATCTTAAATCAGCGGATCGAGAAATATACAGCAATTGTTTTTGTTGATCTTATCAATAAGTTTAGGTTTATTGATTTGTATTTTGATTGTTGTGTAATCAGAAATGTTAGTGGTTGACGGGATAGTTTAAATAAAATGACAAATGGAAGACCTAAACTGTATTGTAATATACTGGACGGTACAAACCAGCCTGCACGCCTTACATTGAAATCATTTTTATTTTTCTCCTTTTAGAAAATAGTTGTTTTTCGAGGATTGCCCAGAAATTCCCTCAGTTGGAGAGCGAGATTCAACACGCCATTTCCAGCAGACATATTGAACAAATGCTAACTGCCAACCAAAACGAATTCAAAACGTATGAGATTGAAACTAAAATTGATTCTACCGGTTGCTTAGATGGCGATTCAGAACAAGGAGACCATTTGATTGACTTCATAACTCAAGTTGCGTACTTGAAGAAACAGGCGTCCGAATCTTTGTATAACGAGATAATCGAATTCATTAAAAGTGATAACGTTAGTTTGCCAAAAACTGACGATGGTAGAAGTTGGATTAGATGTAACTATGATGCAATTTTCGTCAAGAATTAAGCTCATTAGTATAATCGGTAATGCGTAAGTCAAACGATAAGTATAACATGTCCGTTTTTGAAAGATTTTCAATCAGAACAAAGAAAGCGCCAGAGATTCCCTGACGAGGGCACAAAGGTCCCCATCTGACGAGAGTCCCACGATCTCAGACGGGGTCCACACCCGCCTTCATCCCTACCATGGCTGATTTTATTAATAGGCACCTCTAGATTCTCAGAAATGGCCCTCTCAGTCTGTAGGCCTAAAAAATATTTTTCATAGCAGTGTTGCCCGACAAGATTATCGAATCTGGGATTCATTGTTTCCCGAATGGGGATCCTGTGACCTGGCCTAACTTCAGCTGGCGCCGCCATTACTGATTCAGAACCCATGGAAAATTTAAGAGAAATAAAATGTACTTGTTGAAATATGTTGAAATATTTTGTTTGGATACTTATATTGAATAAACAAGGAGTTTACTATCAGTACGGTAGTGTTTTTAGCCTGAATATATCTGAAATATCTGTCGAACATGAACATCGTATATACACCACTTAACTAATTAGCCTATATATTATGCTGATTGTTTTTTCATAAAATCTTTATTTCAGCAATTAAAAGCTATATGAATTACATAAAACAAAAACAACATTACAAAAGCAGAAAGCAGAAAAAATGCATCAATAATGTTCAAAAAGTGCGCTAAACCTCGAAAAGCGTCATCCATTTTGAGTGAAGCCATGATTCTCTAAAACATAAGTGATAAATAGTTTTAATCAACTTGTTTGTACAAATAAGTTATAGACTGCTGTTTCATTTGAGCAATTGCTGAATTTACGGCTTAACATAATAATATGGATTTTGTTTCGCCTAATGACTCGTTGTTTCATATTAAATGCCCAGACGATTGGTCTGCTTGTCTCGTTGGATTAATTTCGGATGATATATAAAGCTTTTCGTAAAACGTTTGCTTTGTGGTGCAAAAACAATTACTCGATACTTAGGCCTAATGTTGATAAAACAAAGATATAATCATTGATATTAGGAAATCTCAGTAACTGTTTAATCTGTAACAGGACACAAATATCTCGGTAACTATACTGATAATAAATTAAACTGAGCATATAATACACACAAAAGTAGCAAGAAATGTAACCAAATGCTGTACTTTTTACGCAGAATAAAATTCTTTAATGTAAACCCTAACATTATAAATAATGTTTTGTTTCTGTTATTCAACCAGTTTCAGGGGCGGATCCAGCCTGCCAGAAAAGGGGGTGGGGGCGCAATCTGCGAGCGAAGCGAGCAGCCTTATAGGCTGGGGGCCAGGGGCCGCCTAGGGCCCCTGGTGGGGGTCCAAGGGGGCGAACCCCCTTGAAGCCCAGCACATTTGAGGAATATGAGGTTGTATTGAGTCGATTTTGACTATCTAGCATGGTAGTTTTCACTAACAAATAAATAAAAAAATTTTTAAAAAATAGGTGTATGTCTTTTAAAAGAAATTTTAATGTACAGGGTACCTGCTGTATGTAACTATGAAATGTGTCATTAAACTAATAGTAATTCATCAACTCACAGCTGTGGGTTTTAGTGCCTCTTCCACGAACATCTCAAAAATAATCTTTGACAACATGCAAAGCCTCATAAATGTACACCATTTCAAAAGAGAAATTTCACTTCTAGAAAACATGATGAAGTTTCTCAGCAACATCGAGCATAAAAACAGCAACATCGAGCATAAAAATCACAAAATCAGCAAAAAGAAAAACTAATATCCAAAATCCGTTAAAAAAAAAAAGTCGTCAAACAACAAAATCCGCTACTGTATATTAACATTGAATAAATTACAAGTGTTCTATTTCTCACCAAGTGGATTTATGAATAGCACTCTCCTAAACACTGTGGGTGTAATTTTTTATTTTTATTTTTTTTTTTGCAAAATCAGAGGGGCGTACGCCCCTTACGCCCTTCCCCCAAATCCACCACCGGAAATAGGCCTAGGCCCTAGGTTTAGGTAGGCCTACTTTGTTTCGTGTCAATTAGAGAACAGGATTATTATTATTATTTTTATTATACAATTTCATTCAGTATAGGCCTATCTTGTAAATTACACAATGATGATTTAAACCAGGTACTGTACTTGAAAACAATAAGGAAGTAAAACTGACACGTCAAAAGTGTCAAATGTTGTCTACACAAACGCTGTACTTTATTAAGAGTAGGCCTAAGTCTACTGAAGGGGTGTCGTCAAGGATATTATTCCGGGATCTTGTTTAATGCTCTAGGCAGCTCCTTTGTTGGGACCTCCCCCTCCCCAATTGTCAATCAAACATTCAAACGGTTCAAATTGGTTTGTACTTAATAAAATTGAGAAAATACATAAATTTAATTGATAACCTATTACTTATAACTTTGTCAGTTTATCTGCTATGTTGTTGCAACAATTGTAATTAAAACATGTTAGAAAATATAAAAATTGAAAAATTTATAAAATATATAAAAAGTTGGAAAATTTATTGTTAGCAAGGTTTGAAGTATCATTGAACTGTAGCTATGGAAAATATATCTAAGCACAAAAAGTGAATTGGAGGGGGAGGTCCCAACAAAGGAGCTGCCTAGAGCATTAAACAAGATCCCGGAATAATCTCCTTGTTGAGGTTTATGAATAGATGGTTTAGAATTGCCCAATTGTGATTTTATTTAAGTTTATCCATTACGTTTGTATCAGCATTAATCACGAGATTCATGTCTGCCCGACCATGGTCCGACGGAAGAAATGATTTCCCCTTCATCCGCCACTGTCCTTAAGCAACAATTGTTCATTGTTTCGCCATGGTCCTCATCTACTAAAAAGATTTGTCAACAAATGAAAATATAATTTTAGGTCCTAGGCCTACTCCGCGGTGAAATCAAGTTATTGTTGCGTCGAGGCGGTTCCGTTTGTGAGGAACTCAAAAACTTGAAAAATGAAATATATTTGCATTACTTACTTACTTTGTATATTATATAAGTCCATATAAAATCGCCAGGGTTGTCAAGAAAGATGGAAGCGAGAAATGTTTGTTACGTTTACTTTTTCAAATTTAACATTTTCGGTGGCACTCAACTAATACAAACGGAATAATAGAAAGGAAATTAGTTTCAAAAATTAAAATACACTATAAAAATCAAATTAGGCCCACATAACGTCTTGTTGAATTACAACATACTGGTAGAAGGGCAGTCGCTGCGTAGACTGTCCACCCGTATTTAGGCATACTTTATAAACAAGGTACTAATTTCGATGTGTGTTTGCGTCAATATCATAGGAGTGAAAATTTTGCCCTACCTGACGTATTATCGTACCGTCAACACTAGTCACTAAGCGCAAGCTAGGTAGTCTGTGGTTATGGCACAAGATAGGCCTATTTGTTTTGTGTGTTCGATTTATTCAAATTACTTGAATTTTTTTTTTGCCAGTATTTGGGAACGTACTGAGTATAGGCCTACACGTCAGGAGGGCAACGTAGGGCAACATGACATGTAGGGCACAACATCACTCCTATGATATTTTCCCGAGTTGAAACTCACATCGAAATAGCAGTAAGCCTATACCCACTGCTTTGGGATCGGATTCAACACTAGTCACTAAGCGCAACTCGGTAATCTAGTGCTATTAGCACTAGGCTTTATCTGGAGGTCTTGAATTCGATCCCCACTCCGCTTTACTGGTAGTGGTGGTGGTGGTAGTAAAGCTTATTTAACTCAGCAATTTACATGCTGTTTTACCTCATGACCGTGATAAAAAAAAAAAAAACAAACAAAAACGAAAATATAAATCAAATTTACAAAATATACAATATAAAGGAAAAGCTAAATACAGTATAACGGAATAATGAAATTTACTTTTATACAAAATAATTCATATATGAACAGTATTATATTATTTTACTCTAAACAGAAATAAGGTACATTTATAAATATTAACATTACATTGAGGAATATGAAATAAGGTTTTTGAAAATGCTTAGGCTAGCGTGTTTGAAGTTAGTACATTTTAATTTAGTTTGTTCCATTTAATAGCTCCGTGGTATGAAATACTTCATTTTATAATTAGTTCTTGGTTTAGGATTGTATAGATTACCGTACTTTTACTTTTACAAAAATCATAATTACTATTGCCTAGATAAAGAGACAATTAGTTAGATAAGATGGGGCAATCAGTAACTTGTTTATTTGAAATTGGACACCAATTTAACTAGACAATAGGCCCTACATTGCTACTGGGCGTGTACCCCAGGCGATTTTTTTTTTCGAGTACCCTGTTTGGGAACGTACTGAGCATATTCGGTACGACAACACGTCAGGTAGGGCAAAACATCATTACAATATAACAACTAAGTAAGTTAAAATGATAAAAAAAAAAAAAACACTGAACACTTATGACGATATTATTATGTGTACTCACGCGATGGGTGCACAAACATGCTTACGCACACTCATATAAACATTACGTTTAGTATATAATTTGATATATCATTGAAATACTTTGTGTGCATTAATTTAGTGTTCATATCTGTGTATCAACTCAGTAGTCATCCTATAAATTAAGTACTTGTTGGACAGGCAAGTGATGACGTTGCAGTATATCCCTTAATGAATATGACTCCAGAGAGTTACGGTATTTCACTTAACAAGGATGTTGTAGTGACATCATCAACATGGTACCCACATAATCCAAGCGTCGTTGTTGAATCTTGTGATTGTAAATCAATTTTACTCATGTTAAGTTGATTTTAATTAACATATTATCATAGAGTGTAGGCTATTGAGTGGCCGGGCCTATGTTAGCATTCCAGGCTATATAGGCCTACCTACGGGTTTGATGGTCAATGGTCACTCATTCTTAAATGTAACACCACTTGGCTAATAGTAAGGTATAAAATTAATTAATAAAAACTTAACAATTGTAATTTTAAACATCATACTGGTATTTTGAACTCCTCATATGAAGAAAGATACTGTAGGCCTATAGTCGTACTGCATTCCTATTTTTACATATTTTCCTTATACTATAGTAATACTAGTACCGTAATAGTACTACTAGTTCCGACATTATTCGGGAAAGGTAGGTAAAGGTAAGGGTAAGTAAGTAAGTAAGTAAGTAAGTAAGTAAGTAACTTTATTGCTTCTCTTTTATAACAGAGGCACAGCCGTAAAGACGTGCAGCAATAACAAAATCAGTAAAAACTTAATTACTGTGATAAAATATAGTAAGAAAATATAGTAAAAAAGGGTTTACAAAAATAGTACTGTAATAGAGATAAAAATAAATACTAATACTAATAATATAAGTAAGATGGTTAATACATCACTGATACACACACATACATATACACATACACACAAACATATACACACATATATATATATACATATATACATATATAGATTAAAAGACAAAATACTGAAAAACAACAATGCTGTGGGAAACAATGGCTGGATCTCGGTAGAGATACAAAAATGATAAGCAACAGCTAAAGAGTAAACGTAAGTAAACAGCCAGAAATAGAACCAGAGCTTTCGGACAACACTAGTCCTTCCTCAGTGGCGAGTGAGTGAGGGTTGAAAAAGCCAGATAGGTAGATGTAGGAGAATGACCCATAACTTGCAGCGTCATTGTGCTGAATTGCGTATGGGTGTGGTCCGTGACTACCTAGCAGTGAAGAGTCGGTTTTCATGGTAGATACATGTTCATATCATTCCAGAACGATGTGGAAGGTTAGTTAAACAGTTGTAGCGCCCTCTGTAAAAACTAGTAGTTCGATGAGGAGGCTGTATGCATTACTAAAGGGAAATTCCCATAGACAATGCATCTACGAGGAAGTTGTGGACAAGGTGCAGATCGAAACCGATAATATATTTAGGCCTACATCGTGATGATATGATAATAATAGCTATGATGATGAAAATAATAACAATGCTAATGGTAAATGGTGATTAAAATGACAATATATTTCTTATGATATAAACAATAGGCCTAATAATGACGATGATGATAATAATAATAACAATAATAATAATAACAATAATAATAATAATAATAATAATAATAATAATAATAATTTAATAATAATAATAATTTTTTTTATCGGTTATATTTTTTTACTTGTATATTTGAATGATCTTTGCATTACCATGTAATTCAGAAGGCTTGCTACAATTTGGTAGCCTATGTTTTAAAATAAATAAACAAAAAAAAAATTCATGATGATAATAATATCAATAATGATGATGATGAAAATGCTGATAAAGATGATGATAATGGTAATGATGATGGTGATAATATAGTATGATGATGATGATGGTCACGATGATGATGGATGATGACGATGATGATGAGGATAATGGATATATGATGGTGACGATGATACAATATGTTGATTGTAATTTATAGCCTTTGTATTAATGATTAATATCAAACCTAATAATAGGTCAAATAATACATTAATTATAATTATTATTATTACATTATTATTATTATTATTATTATTATTATCATCATTATTTAATATTATTAGGCCCATTATTGTTATATATTATTATTATTATTATTATTATTATTATTATTATTATTATTATTATTATTATTACTTATAGGCCTAACTCATATTTACAGTATATTAGAATTATTATATAATGCTCGAAATCGTCGAAGCGATGGTGATTCAATCGATTGACTTGAAGTGAGTGGGCCTTCCCCATTCCCGTGATTTACGGAAATAATGTTTCCGCCCATACATTACTGTGATTCAAGGTGATAGGCCCGTTCAAATTACCGATGGTGTTTAATCTATTAATATTAAGACGAATATAATAACATGCAGGTCACAATATATGATATACAGCGATGCTGGTCTCGTTCTGTTAAATAGGTTTCCACTACGGAAAGCATAGCTATTATATTAGTAGGAAAAAGCTTTGTGTAGGCGTTTGATAAACCTGGTCTTTCCTTAGCACTGCATACATAGTGGATGTAGAAAAACTCTCACTGACTCTGCATAGACTTCATACGTACAGTATTCACTTAGTAGAACGCGTGTGGCCTGGAGGGGAAATATGGCTGAGTTGTGTGAAACTTCAAATTCAAGCCGTGGAGGTACTTCTAAGAACATAGTACAGCCGAATTCGTTCGATGAGTCCTCTGATAGTGAGGGTGAAGAAGTTCGGCTTCATAAAGCCTTTCACCGGCGAGTTTCTACCTCAAAACAAATCAAACACAAGGTATGTTTCACAACACTTCTTCCTAGCTAGGCCCAGGCTTCGCGTAACATTTGCTTAGACCACTTTAGACGGGCTTACTTTACTAGTGGGTGCTTTCGATAATAATAGTAACTCAAAACTTGCTTAGCCTGGAGTAGACTATAGTAAAATCCTTAAAAAACTAGTACTCTTATATTGCATTTTAAGAATCACATTCAGTTGATTTAACAGGTTATTTTAAGGCATTTAACGCAAAATCATTAGGCCTAGGCTGGTAATATTGATCACAAATTAGGCACTGGCCTCCTTAACTAGAGTAGAGCTAAATCATGTTAATTGTTATTTAATTACTGAAAATCTTGTGAATTATCAAGAGTCGGACCCCGGCTAGGACAAAATGTCGTGTATTTTTTCTTGCCATAATACAAGATGTTGATATTAGTAGAATTTAAGCTTACTGTAGTACAACCCCATTTACAAGGTCTTATGTCAGGCCCATAGTCAGGGAGGTTTTTATGGTTCAGGCAAACCCCCTTTCTTAGCAAACCCACTTTTTTCTGACCCCCCCCCCCCAAATTTCTGGAATGAGTCCTCCAGCCCAACTAATGCACTTCAGACTCACCCAGACTTTCTATTAGTGGACGCTTGGCTTAATCTTTTTTAGGTTCGTGTGCAAAAAAAATCCCTCATTTTTTTGTCACCGCGAATACATCGTGCACCGAGATAAAAATTGAATTGTAATCGAAAATACTTTCGTAAAACAAGCTTAATTAGAACCCGAAGAAAGTTACTTCAAATTCAATATTAAGTATGAACAATTAAGGAATTCATTGAATCAATGGACCCTCATAAACACAACAAACTGAACATTTAATAGGAATATTC